TCCAATAACCACAGAAGCTCCTGTGAGAGCGGCCAGTGAGCTAAGACGCCATAGGAAGAGGTCCAAGAGTCCTCGCCCATTCCTACCAGGGCTTCAGGATACCCACTACTCTGTTCAGTGCCACCAAAGAGTGTGAGAACTGTTCGGCGAACTCCTGATTTGGTCAGCCTTCGTGTCTGAGACTGACTTTCAGGACTGACCTCTTTGTGCATCCCACCGCCTCTATCTCTTGCCAGCCCCCAGATCAGAACGTCTCTTTTCCTACTGGTCTCCATCATCAGTTCTGAGCTGCATCCTCCTTATATTCCCAGGGAAGTCTAACCCACCACCCTTCACTGCAGAGAAGCCCCCTGCCCAAAGCTTGCTGAACATATGCAAAATGAACAATGCCTTTAGGCAATGCTGTCTGTTCTGGTACATACAAAGGCCTCCCCTTTCACTTTCAGCAGCAGCCACCCATTTCCAGCTTCGCTTTCAGCAGCAGCCACCCATTTCCAACTTCGCTTTAGATTTTCAAATAGCACCTCAGCCCCGCTGAACCCTTCAGTTCCTAAAGTCACATCTGTCCTGGATGCTGCTATTGCTCCAACTGGAGTTAAGCTCTAGTTTGGGCTTCTGGTACTTCTGCCCCATCCCACCCCACCCCCCACCCCCACCTTCCAGGCCCCAAACAGCAGCTGTCTGACCAACCTGCTGGTGTGTCGGTCAAGTTCACAGTGACTATGCCCAGCCCAGCAGAGCTGTGTTAGAGCTACAATCAAGGCAGGCACACTGGCCAGGTGCCAGGCCCTTGCTGTTAAGAAGCCTGTATTGTCATATAATGTTAAATGGGCCTTATAAGTGCCTGGTGAAATGGCTGCCAGAGCCAGATAGGCTTTCTCACAAGCAGACATTGTTATTTAACCATTTTCCCTGAGCAATCTTCCCTCCTCCTCTAGATTACAAACTCCTCCAGGGGCTATGCCAAATACCTCCCTGTAAATCCCTTCAACACCTAGCATAGGGTTCTGTGCACAGTAAGCTTTCAATTAATAGTTCTCCATTTAAGAACCACCGCATTCGCCAACACTTCCCAGCCCCAGCTTCACGTGAGCAAATGCCTTCACGTGTACTATTTCCATTAAGTTCACAGAGCCAATCTCTAGGAGGAACCATCATCCCCAGTCTTGCAGATAAAGATCGCCCAACTTCTAAGTAGCAGAGCTGAACCCAGGTCTCCAAATGGTCAATGTCAAGCCCTTTCCACTCCAAGCTGCTGCTTCATAAAAACTTGTTGCAGGAGCAAATAGGCAGAAACCCATCTGCCTTGCTATAGCCACTCTGCTCCCCACATCTCAATGTTGATGGCTTCACTCCACCAGACACCTGAGGAGATGATGATTAGGTTTTTGACTTTTGCCGATGATGTAGGATGTCTGCCGCGGTGGGGGGGGGGGGGGGGGGGGGGGGTATTATTCAGTGGCAGCTTTCCCAGAGCACTGGCAAAATTAGTTGGTGTGCAAATCCTTTAAAATAGTTTGTATTTTAGTCAATCAGAGAAAGACAATTATTACATGATCTCACTGATATGAGGAATTTGAGAGGCAGGGCAGAGGGTCATGGGGGGAAGGGAGGGAAAAATGAAACAAGATGGGACCAGGGAGGGACAAACCATGAGAGACTCTCAACCTCAGGAAACAAACTGAGGCTTGCTGGGGAGTTGGCGGGGGAGGGATAGGATGGCTGCGTAATGGACACTGGGGAGGGTATGTGCTATGGTGAGTGCTGTGAATTGTGTAAGACGGATGATTCACAGACCTGTACCCCCAAAGCAAACAATACATTATATGTTAATAAAAAAGATCTTTATTTTGTCCATTACCAAAAATGAATGGCAAAAAACAAACAAAAAACACCCAACCCAAGAGTCAGCAGACTTCACGAGAAAACCTTTCCAAGAAAATCTTTAAGATAGAGGGGACGGTTTGAAGGGCTGTCTATCAGCTAGGCCACGGGAAACTACGGCACTGAAAGGCGGCCTGATTTTTGTTTTTGAGAAATTACCCCTTGACCTTCCCGTGAGTGGTATGCGCTGCCACTGGAAATGCTACAACAGGGCCCCTTTGAGGGCTGCTTCGCAATTTCTCAAAATTAAAAATGGTCTTTGCAGAATTTCTGCAGCAGAAGGGATTGAGAAGTCTGAAAATGGGCTTTTTACGTGTAAACTGACCCGCAGAAAGTTTTTCATCAATGAGGCGCTCTCCTGAAAGGTCTGCACTGTGCTCCAAATGCCAAGGTCAAAGGATCCTTAACTGAGCGGGAATATTTTTCTTCCTTGCAAAGAGACCTAACCTCTCCCCAAAACCCCTTGTATCTGCCCATCTTCTCCCCACCCCCTCCATCTACATATGGAAGTCTGACCCTGCCCGCCCTTAACACCCACAAGAGGCTACCCTACCTCTGAATGACAGAACAGCTTTACGGCTATAAAATCCAACATTCCACAAGGGAGGACTCTATAATCTGCACTTTAAATACCTAAACCCACGTAATTTCAGACCCATTGAACAAATCCCAGAGGTTTACAGAGGAAAATGTGAGGCTCCAAATCTTTGTTCTAAGGGCCAAAAAAATCTAACCCGCCTTAGATTTCATTTTACAAGTATTCCTCCCCGCAAAAGCTGGCAGTCTAACAAAATTAAAAAGAGACTCTTTCCCCAATTTTCCCAGATGGAGGCAAGTGGCAGATCAATGTACAGCTCAAGGAGAGGAATTTAAATACAGTATGTGCTTCTCCTTTCAAAAAAGGAGAGAAGCCACTTCACATTTTGCCAGACAAAACCCTGTCCCCAGGAGGCCAGTTTCCACAATGAGGTTGCAAAGGTGCTAGAAAGAGGCCAGTAGGGAGGAGATACAGGGCCATTTGGGTACCAACCCCCCACAGATCAGAGCTTTTCTTCCAAAGTGTCTCCTTTTCAACAGGGAAGCCTTTTAAAAGTACATTTGCTTTGGATCCCTACCTGAATGACAATGTGTTGGGATCCAATTTCACCTTTTGTCAAGGATCGGGTGAGAAACAGTAAAACTGCTGTCACCATCTTAGAAAAAGCCAAGTCCTTAGTTTATATAGGGAAGGGGCTGGGGGGCGCTTACAACCCCTGGTCCAGCCCTAGCGATGGGGTGAAGGTGACAAATGCCTCCTAATCTTACAAACAGTCTGAAACTCAAACATATTAGACGTCCTTTATTTAAAAAGGTGTCACTATGCAAAAACATAATTGTTTGGGCTCTGAATTGAAACATTCACCACTGGGAGGAGGGGGTATCTTAGTTCCTTCCTAACATTTTAGTTCCATTTCCTCTAAAAGTCACTTTGCTCCTAAGAACTCTCAACAACCATCACAAAACGCATGTGGAAAAAGGCTAACAGAACCTGAACCTGAAAAACCTCCACAGAAATGGGCAACTAAATGATGTATCCTAAAGGCTCGTCTATTGTTATGCAAATGACAAAAATATCCGACTCTATTGCACTTTGTGGCCTGGTGTCTGCAAATACAGAATTACCTTTCAAGCAAACCATCCACTCCTCAATCTCACCTAATAACAAAACAAAAAGCCCAACCTCTTTCACTACGGTGGAAAAGGTCTAAAGGAGTGGCTTTAGGAAAATTGTGTCATTCTGAGAGACGACTCAGGGATGCCGGGGGAGGCATCGTAGGGAGAAAGGCTTTAAGGGGGGGGGGGGGTGGTAAGACATCGGAAACCTGAATCCCAAAGTGACTCAAAACACCTCCCCCGGTCGGAGGTGGAAGGGTGGTCACAGTAGAATCGAAATCAGAAACCTATTCCGAGAGCACATTCCTGGAAACTTCGCTCTTTCGAAGACCACATTTATCACCATTATTGTTGTTAGAATGCATAAGGGAATAAGGTTATTTAACGGGAAGAATGTTATAGCAAAGGTTTCAGACTCTTAAGGTCACCTTAACCTCTCCTAATCGACTGGCCTTTCTGGCCTAATAATAATAATAATAATAATGGCAGGGTAGAATCTCCAGGTGGTTGCTATTTAGCAATTTTTACTACTGTTACTAGTATCACCTTCAGGATTCCTTCTTAGCCACGGACAATCTTTCTGTAAGCCCCTTCCTCCACTGGGGAGGGCCAACATGGTAAACATTCTAGAAAAATGGAAACCTTACTCACTGTTCCCCCCTTTTCCACCCCTCTCCCCAAAAGCACACACACAACAAAAATCATACAGCGGAGAGTGCGCAAACAACAGCAAGCAACAGCGGAAAGCAGTAAGAAAAGTCCCTCACACGGAACCGGAGTCGCGAATCTACCAGGCCAGCCCCTCCCCCAATGCACCCTAGCCGGCAAAGGGACCTCAGAGTCCACTACCGAGGCCGCTCTCCGCCGGGACCCAGGTGGCCCGGGAGCAGCTGCGCACGCTGTGGTGCCTTCCTTCCTTCCGGCGCCCATCCGTGCGCCTTGGTCTGGGGGACACAGGGAGGTGGTCAAGGGCGTGGGGTAAGGGAGGAAAATCGTCGGAGCCAGGCGGGGCTGCCCCGGAATGGGTACACAAAGAACGAAGGGGAGTTTGCAGGGTCAGGAGGGTGAAAACACGACTGAGCCGGGAGGGGAGAGGGAGGGTGCGGGGGGGGGGGGGGAATACGTTCAAATTAGGGAAGAGGATTCGAAGGAACCACTGAACCCTCGCTGAGATAAAGGAGCTGGGGTGGGGGGCAGTGTAGAGTGGGTTCCGTGCAAAGGGCAGGAGCCTCTGCAGAGGAGAAAGGGAGAGGTACCTGTGTGCTTGAAAGAGGAGTTGGTGTGTAGTCGGGGGGTGAGGGGAGGTCTGAGCAGAGGCGTCTGGCGGAAAGGGGGCTGCGTACAGACCAGAGAGGTCTGTGCGTGGTCAGTGGGACCTGTACTGGAGAATGGGACCGGGTTCTACGCATAGGAGAAAGGCAAGATGCCTGGCAAGTTCGGGGGGCGCAAAAGGGGCCACTTACCTGCATAGTGACGACCCCCAGTTCCTCGGCCGCCAGCCTCCGCATCTGGCTCGCCAGCACTTGCGCCTCGTCCAGGATGGAGAAGTCGGCGTCGGCCACGGCGCCCAGCAGCCAGCACGCGCCCAGGCAAAGCAGCCAGAGGGGCGGCCGCCGCGCCCGGGCCCCAGCCGGGCCGGACGAGCCCCGGCAGCCTCGGGCCAGAGCAGCCGCCCGCGCCGTCTCCTCCTCCTCAGGCTCGCGGGCCATGCTGCCTCCCCCCACTCCCCGCCGACTGGCTCAAGGCGCCGGGAAGCGGGGAGGGAGCAACGGGAGGTGCGCCCTGGGCCCGCTTGGCGCACCCCGCAAAACTTTCTTGCCCTGCTGCAGATGCCTCCGCGCGCCGCGGCGGCTCCCAAACTTAGGGGGCGCCCGGCTACAGCGCGGGAGCGCGGGCGGCCACCATCGCCGGGCTCTGGCGGCGGGCGGGAGAGGAAGCGGCCGCCCGAGCGCTCCCAGGGACCCCGGCGCCGGCTCGGGTCTCGGAGGGTGGCGGCGCGCGGGCCGCGGGGCTGACAGTGGGAGCGGCGAGCCGCCGAGCTTTCGCTTCCCCCGAGTCCCGGCGCGGCGAGGCGGAGGCGGCGAGGACGGGCGGCGGCACCGGTGGAGGAGGAGCGGCGCCCGAGCTGCGAAGCTGGGCAGGCACCCGAGCAAGGAGGGAGAGGGGAGGCTTAAAACATACGCGCGCGCACACACACACACACACAAAAAAAAAAAACAAAAAACAAACAACAACAACAACAACAACAACAAAAAAAAAAAAACTGAAAGAAAGCAAGCAAGCGGTGGGGGGAAAGGGAGGCGTCTGGTGCCACCACGCTGCACTCCGGCTCCGTGCACTTCCCGGCGCGGCCGCTGCCGCTGCGGCGGTGATTTATGGAAGGAGCGAGAGAGGCGGGGAAATTCCCCCAGTTGCCCCTCCTCTCCTGCCCTGGCTCCCGCCTTAGAACCGGCCCCCCGGACGCCGGGGGCCGGAGAGCCGGCTCGCTGCTCGGGTACCAGCCCTGCCGGGGGTGGGGTCCCTCGGACCTTCTCGTGGCTGGGGACAGCGACCCACCCCAGCTCTCACCGCCATCACCAATGCGACGGACTCCGGGGTCCCACCCGTTCCACGTTCCCTCCAATGTCCCTTTAAGTCCTGGGACGCCGGCTTTCTGCCGGGCAGAGCTTGAGAAGGAGGGGACCGCCGTTTGTGCGTCCATTGCTTCTTTTCGGTGTCATTGGTAACAATCACTCGACGGACCAACAGGTTTCTTTTATTTAATCAGCTACTGTGTGCCCGGCACTGTGCTCCGGGGGTTGTATATATTAGCCTTTAATGCCACCACATCCCTATGAGTAAGTATCTTTATCTTAAGTTTTTAGGTAATAGACCGAGGCTAAGAGAGGTGGAATAAATTGCCGAAGGTCACCCAGGGGACAAGAGGCAGATCCAGAAATTAAGCACGTCTAATTCCGGGATCTTGCTCTTAAATATGACATAGTTCTTTCTCTCTTTTGAAATGAACCATCTGATCCCATCAAAAACAAAACAAAATCCCCAAAGCTACCGAACGGGAGTTGGCCCCACACATCTGCGAAGCATGGGGAGGCAAGGTTAACCTTCCTATTTACTCCTGGCTCGGGCTCTCTGAGAGCCTTCCAAATCACCTGTTGGAAGTACCTGGAACAAGTGGCTGCTTGGGGTGGGGGAAAGGTATGCTAAGGCCGCCCTTCATCCTTCCAAGCGTGAGGTTGCTGCTCCAAAGTTCCTAGAGAACAGAGCCATATCCCAGAAGGTGAAGGCACTTGCCTAGGGATACCTAGTTGGGGTGGTAGTAGGACTAGGACCTGGATTTAGTGCTCTTTTGCACTTTATAGTAAAACCTGTTGTACTTCTTTGTATTACATTGTATTATATGCCCACCTATTCTGAATTTCCCAATCAGTGTGGTCTCCTATACTGTATGTTTTCTTTTTGAGACACTTTTCACCCTATCCTCCCTTGAGACAGGGACGTCAGACTCTTGCCGCACCATCACTTAGTATCTGTGATGTTTGTTTGACATAACTTGCACGTGCTAGAACTAAAGTAAGCTTGGTGAGGGCAGAGACCAATCCACCTCTCCATCATCCACACTTAGCTCAGTACCAAGCATAAAGTAGGTGCTGTAAAAATCAAGCTTTACTTAATGATAGGATAAAAAAATATCTACCTGTTCTACCCCCAGCATTGAATTGACATTTGGCAGAGAAATGATCCTGTAAGTTGTTTTTAGTTATATTATTGCACATGGAGGCAGTGAAACAAACCATTTTAGTCCACGTGGTAAACGGGAGAGAAAAAAAATAATGGCACTTAGCATTATTAATGTTTTGTACTGGATTCTTCAAGGTTACTGTCACCAAACTTCTCACACATCTCTAAGCTAGTTTTTTTTTTTTTAAAGATTTTATTTATTTATTTGTCAGAGAGAGAGAGAGCGTAAGAGTGAGCACAAGCAGATAGAGTGGCAGGCAGAGGCAGAGGGAGAAGCAGGCTCCCTGCTGAGCAAGGAGCCCGATATGGGACTTGATCCCAGGACGCTGGGATAATGACCTGAGCCGAAGGCAGCGGCTTAACCCACTGAGCCACCCAGGCGTCCCTCTAAGCTAGTTTTTTGAAACTCCTTCAAAATGGCTTCTCTTTCTTTGCCTATCCTTTGTATAGTGGTATTTCTTGGGGTCCTATTTCTGGAAATTCTAATTCTATGTCCCCTTTCTTCACTCCAAGTTTCTTTTTAGAACTCTCCTGTACACTCGTGTCTTCAATTATCATCCAGACATCAGATTTTTACAAACTTCTAAACAAAGCTTAATCTCCCCTTTGAGCTGGATTTCCATTTTTCCAACTGTTCACTAGCTTTTCTAATAGCTATACCTAAAATTCATTACTGCTTTCCCTCATTCTCCACATAAATCTGCATCTGATTGCATACCTGGGTGGATGTCACCTGCTCTTGAAGCTAGGCTTCTTACTCCCTGCCTCCACTCCAGTTCCGAGCCTGTCTCCTGGCCATCCTGGCACTCCACCTGTATCCCAATAGTCACTTCCGTCACTTCCTGTCACAGCTGACCTGCATTAGAACCACCGCCTCCTCCCCAGTCTCCATGCAGTCCTTCTTACCCCAATCATTCTGTTCTTCACACTGAAACCAAAGTCATCCTTCTAAAAGTCAAATCTGAACTTGTCACTCAGTAACCTAATCATTTCTGATGCCCCATCACAGCGAAATAAAGTTAACACAATAAACAAGCTCTCTGTGCTCTGGTCCTTCTGGTGCTTCTGGTCCTACTGAAGCCACTCTGCAGCATTTAACAAGGAACATTGTGATTATCCCTTTAAAAGTCTTTTCTCCATCCTAATGTTTCTCATTAGGTCCACCACCACCTGTAGCCTTGAGGCAACTCTTGAACAGCAAAGCCTGTGCTCCATCCCAAGTTTACTGAAGTGGAACGGGTAGAGGAGGGCTGGTCCTGCAGTGCGCAGGACCTCCTCCCCCCTCCCCCCACCAAAGGAATCTTTTGAACTGCTTGCTATTAGACTGCAAACAAAACTCCCCAGGATGGTAACTCAGTCATTCTGGAGCTCAAACATTTCGCCCAGCGTCTACACCCAAGAGATTCTCAATCCCCAGGAAGAGCCATGCTATATCTTCTATGTTGCCAATGGAGAAACGTCTCAGAGAAAGTCATTTGTCCAGGATAATACAACTTTTAGATGGTGGTACCAGTGTGCAAACCTGGGTCTTTAAACACCAGATAGCAAACCCTGAGCTACTAGTCTGGTGTCAGAATATTCACACATGTACCCTGGTATGTGATAGCCAAATAAAAGCTTTTTGACTGATAAACTACTAATCCTTAATGTCCCCAGCCCGTATAAGTGAAATTGTCCCACCATTGACCCCGCTCAGCATTAGTTGATTGTCTTCGGGCAGAGGGGCGGGGGGGGGGGGGGGGGGGGGGAGGGTGGTGGTGGTAACTGATTGGACCTGGGTGGGAATGTGACATGAAGGCAGCCAATCTATCACATGCCATGGTATGACAAAAAGATTAGGTGGGTCAAACAAATTTTTATTCTCAAAAATTTACAAACTACTAAGAGGAAAAGCAGGTAGAAGTAGTAGTTGAAACAAAAAGGACATAAGGAGTCATAGGAGCCTTGAGTCCCATAGTACATATTGTAGGAAATGTAGAGCTGTATCTACATAGCACTTAATACATAGAACCACCCAATAAACAGTGGGTATGAGTCTGCACACTGAAGCTAGGAAGGTGTAAACATCACAAATGAATGAAGAAAGCCAACTGGAAAGAAAAGAGAATGGAATATATAGAACGCCTGCCTTATAAGACATATCACCAAGACCTAGAACTAACTTTCTGGCTCTAATTCCAGTCCACGTGTTCTATTAATAAGAGACTCCTTTTTCCTTCCCCTTTGTTTTAATGTAACTCTAAGGATCAAGTTCAATCATCTATTCTACATAGTGAAGACTATGACTAGTAGTCATCTTCCATCATTTATTCTATACAGTGAAGACTCTACTGACTATGCAGCTTTTTGAACTTAAAAAAAAAAATGATGAAAAGATGGGCAGGTAGGCCACAGCTGTCCTTAGGACTGTAGATCACCCCAAAACTTGCCTGATGGGCTATACCTTCTCATTAGCGTGCTCCTGTATTCCCTGCTTGTGACAAAAATACCTGTTCATTGCTTGTTTCCTCCCCGGAAGTTCCAGCACTTAACATATGACCGTGTAATTGTCCATTTGCAACTCTGTTTTCTCCATCTTAATGTTTCTCCTTGCACAGGGCCATGATAATCTTCTCTGCACCATTCCAGTTGTAGCATATGTACTGCCCAAGTGAGCACACAATGTTTCTCAGAGTAAGGTCTACAACCACATACAGCAGAATCACCTATCAGGGACGGTGTCGGCCACCCTCACTGCCACAGAGTGCCACGGACCCAAATGATGTGGGAACAAAGAATTGGGGAAAGATTTTTTTTCCCCCAGAAAAATTTATTTATTTGACACAGAGACATAGAGAGAGTGTGTGCAAGCATGTGGGGAAGGGGCAAGGGAAGAGGGAGGGAGAGAATCTCAAGCAGACTCCCCACTGAGCCCAGTGCCAAACTCAGGCTTAATCCCACAACCCTGAGATCATGACCCTGAGCAAAACCA